TAGATAAGGTATTACTTCCACTTTCCAAAACAACTGACCTCCCGAAACTGAAATGTAAAGAGGCAGGAAACACTGAATCTGACAGGAAGGGGTTTTATTATGACAATGACTTCACCGCTTACCGCCACCCTACTTGTGGTCACTTGAGCCTGCCAGTTCGATTTCTGGACAATTTAAGGAGTAATTTCCAATTCGGTGTTGATTAAGTATGCAATAAGGCCTAGTAATATCTATCAGTTACACACACACTTAGCAGCAACAGCAGCAGAGCAAAGCAATGGGGCCAATAACGGTAACAATAATAAAACTCTTACATGGTTGTATGCATGCTGGCCAGCATTCTAAGGCCATGAATATTTAGGACAAGAAAATGCACAATGAACTAAATAAAACACACACACGAGCATGAACAGAGCCATGAAATAAACGGCACGGGCACAGAGATAAATCTGGAAGGATGGAGGCGTCGCTAACCAGGAAAGACCCGCCCCGAAGAGCAGTGCTGAGCCCTTCGCCGGGGAAAGCAGGCTGGTGTGCAGCAGGGATAGGCAGGCTGGAGGGGTGCAGGCTGGGGGGTGGGGGTGGCAGGGGGACTTGTTGTAAAGGACCTGCTCAGTCCCTGTGGATAAACCACAGCTGCGTCCTCTCCTGAAGGAGGCGGGCAGCAGACCACCACACGTGAACCTGACCATGCATGAGGCTCCGGGGAGGCCAGTTAAAAGCAGACTCTCATTCAGTACACCTGGGGCTGGGCCCGAGACTCTGCACCTCTCACAAGCCCCCAGGTGATGCTGCTGGTCTGCGGGCCGACCCAGAGTCACACTGCCCTGAAGGACAGCCTGGGCCGGGGGAGGGGAGTTTAACAGAACGACCGTGGCCGACGGCGGCTCCAGTCCACACGTAAAACATGAGACAGATGAGCCCGCGTCTAAGGCCTCTTTCTGGCTTTAAAAACTTGGGAGCAGGAAGGGCGGTTTATAGCCTGAAGAGCTACAACCCTGAAGTCAGGTATGGAAGAGAAGGCCAGAGTTTGAGAGGGAAAAAGGTTACTAAGGAGCTATGTATTTTATATTACTGTATTCCATTTTCACAACAGAGTTTCAGGGTGACTGGTATGCCCATTTATAGCTAAGGTAACTGACCCCAACTGATTCAGACACAAGCTCTTCCGTCTCCAAGGCCAGCGCTTTTCACACTGCGCACGCTCCCACACCAACGGTGACGTGGGGTGGGAACCCCGGGCCTGAGGGCACCGCCAGCAACTCCAAGCAGAACTTGAAACATCCATGCCATGCTAATTTTTCGTTTCTCCCATAATATATCCATGTTTGTTTAAAGACAAAAGTAACATTTTTTTTAGTAACTTATCCAATACAACAGGCCCCAGTATGTATTTTGTGGCTTTATGAGCCCAGAAACCAAAATTCCTTAGTCCAGTTTGAGGCATTGAATTACACCCGTCTCCAGAGGGACACTGACATCTGTCACCAGATGCCTTTGGAGGCCCAGCAAAAAAGGGACATGTCCCACTGTCCAATGAAGTACATGGCTGGTGGCACTCCCTGCCGACAGTGTTTCAATTGGCACCTACAAATGCACTTTCTGTTGATGTAACTTTTTAACCTGAAAATTCTGTTGAGTCTTTTAACCATAGCCCCGGAAGGGAGTCAGCGAGAGGGCAGGCACATGAAAATCACATCTCATGGGATGAAAATGCTCACACCACGTTGGGCGCAGTTTGAAAAGGGGCATGTTGTGGCTAGGCTGAGCAGAAAACGGACAGGTAAACAAGGCATTCAACTTCACGGCAGCCTCCTTCAAAAAAAAAAAAGCAATGAAATTCACTACTATATCGTTTAAACAAAATGACAGCAATATTTTAGGTAAAGTTTTCACTGTAGAACAACTGTAGAATTATTGCAAAAAAGTACAGAGTTCCCATGTACCCCATATCAGTTCCCCTGTTATTAACATTTTACTTAGTATGGTACATGTGTCACAATTAACGAATCAAGATTGCTAGATTGTCATTAACTGAAGCCTATACGTTATTCAGATTTCCTGTTTTCCCCTGAAGTCCTTTTCCTGTTCCAGTATGTTAATTTTGTCTTTCTTGGAATTTAAAATTCACCACAGAAAGGCTACTTCAGCAAACATGGCAAACACAAGCATAAAGAACTAAAATGATGCTGCTCGAGGCATCCTAAGCCCCAGGAGAACGCACGTCTTGGATGAAACACCATCAAGAGTCAGCTTCTCAATGGACCGACCTTCATCGATAGCCACCGCAACCGCCACCTTAGGGAACTCATGCCTGTCAGAGACGGAAGGAGCAGTAGCATGGAGGGCAGCAACCTGGGAGTCGGCTGTGGGCGCTAAGCCTGGCTCAGTCATGCTAAGCTTTCGCGCCGTTTCAATCAGGTCAGCAGATAGCTCCTTGGGCACCTGAAACCTATCAAATGCTTCTACGGGTCCTACGGGGCCCAAAGGTGCCTACTCCGTGGTCCCCTTCCCAAAGTGAGTTTAATCGGGTTAAAGAGGTAAGTGCCTAAAAGTTAACCCTGAAGGTTTCGAGGTGCAAGGCAAGGTGACAACACAAGGTGTCGAAAGCGAGCGCGTGGTTACCTGGGAAGCGGCTTCACCGAGCAGGTGACACACGCCCTAGGCACTCCAACAAGGAAGACGCCACGTCAGAATGATCAGAAAGGGACAGCTAACCTCTCCGGGCTAGAGTTCATTTCAAAAGGGAAGGTGTTAGACTACATGGCGGAGGTGGCCTCCTGGGCCTAAAATTCCCCAAGCCCCTCATTTCTGTGACGGAAGGAAGACAGAGTAAGGTCAGCAGCAGGGACACCCCATCCTGTCCTCAGCCACCAGAGACTCCCCCCACAGACGGGGGGGCTCTCCCTGCCCAACGATGAAAACAAATCCTCCATTTGGGCCAATGACAATAGCAAACTCGCAAACAACGTTGTACGAAATAAATTATGTTCAAATAAGATACCCTGCCAATCATCTCCACTTGAAAGATATTTTACCACCTTCACACTGTGTTATGTAATCCCCATGCTCCGCTGACTTATTAATTAAACCGGGCCCCTCCGAGCAGTTCTGGAGAACACACACACACCCAGACACATGACTGTCACTCCTTACGGGGCCACCCTGAGGTCTCAGATTGTCCGTGACATTTCTAACTGCGTGCATTCCTGAAAGTGAGGTTTCTCGGCCTTGGCAGTACTGACCCTCCGACGGGACACTTTCTGGAGGAGGGCCGTCCTGGGCACCTCGGAAAGCTGAGCGGCAGCCCTGGCCCGGCCCCACTAAAGGACAGTCAAAACCGTCTCCCGACGTTGCCCAGTGTCAGTCGCCCAGAGGGAGGACGCCACACTGGGAGGAGTAAAGCAATTCATGATATGCATAAATACATAGGATTTCAATAGCAAAGTGAGATTTCAATGTGGATTAAATGACTTTAAAAAAAATCTTTTATTAGACCCTCTACACCAGTTTTTGACTTAGAAAATATAATCACTACAGATGACCAAAAAAGTCAAATTGTGGTTTTTCCCTCCTCAACTCTTATGAGTTAGTACTTTCTAAAGCTATAACGAAAGATACTGCGCAGATCTGTTAATTCCCAGGAAACGAGGAACCGGGGTTAGAAGTCACTCTCCACCCTGCCCTCCCCACCACTCTAACACAAACACCAGAGTCCACGGCCGGCAGCCAGACCAGCCGAGCGTAAGGCAGGAGCTGGTCTGGGAAAGAGGCCAAAGCGGACGAGGCACGGCCACCGGGTGCTGCCCAACCCACCCACCCACCCACACGCTGCCGCAGAGGACACGGGGCACGGCACACGGCCCCCGGAGCGCTTCGCCACCAGCGGTAAAAACAGACCCCGCTCCCCGGGACGGGGAGGAGGCCAACGAGAAAGGAAAGATGCGGCAGGAGTCTGTGCCTTGTGAGTGCTTTGGGCGAATGTCCCTGAGTTTCCTTCATGTCACTCTGTTTAAATTGGGGGGCTAGAGGAACAGAACACGAGGGGGGAAACAGAAAAAAACAGGATTATCTTGTGGAGGGCGGGCCCCTTGTAGTCCAGGCTTCCTCCGCAGGGCGAATGTTCTAGAAACCCATCTGTATCAGAGTACAAGCTGGCGTTGTGAGAGGCTGCGTTCAGCTTCAGTGAACTTTTTTTCGAAGACTCTTTTAATGCGTTTGCCCATTGCATGATGGGTGATTTACCGAGCGTGCACCTGCCCACGCCGGGCTGAGTGTTCAGCAGTTTTTGACCAAAAAAACGGCATGACCTCCATGCCCCGCCCACCCTGTTCACCCGATCTCACCCTGAGCAACTTTATTTTGTTTCCCCAGATGAAAAAAATCCTCAGAGGGAAACGTTTTGCCGATGTGGAAGAGGTGAAACAAAAAATGGCACTAAAATGTCTCAAAATCGACGGATATGAAAACTGTTTTGAGCCGTGGGAAAAAGTCTCGATAGGTGTACTGCATCAAATGGAGAGCACCTTGACAGCGACTGCAGTTTAAACATGTAAGAATAAATACGCAATTGTTCACAAATCAGCACCCCACCTCGTGCCTCAGTGACCGACAGTTCACCCAGAGGAGTAAACTCTTAAGGGAAACCACCCACCTGGGAGCCCTCCACCACGCAGGACGCTCTGCAGCTGCTGCCTGTCTGCTCTCCGTGCAGCATCCATCCGTGCTCCCACCTCACTTGGCTCTCACCGAACCCCGCCCCCCTCCTGGGAAGGAGAGAGAGAACCGGCTGTGCCCAGTTCCTACAGGTGGGCAGATGGCTGGCAAAGAGCAAATCACACTGCAGGACCGAGGAGTTCAACCTGCCTGGCACCAGCCAAGCTAAATGTTAATCAGGGCACGCAATCATTGACATTAAAGATCATTAACCAGGTGCTCAGGCCCCTTGGCAAGGGATGGGGGTTCACAGGGAAGAAAGGCATTTAGATGAAGCAGCAGCCTCTTGTTGCCAAACACCCGGGAGAAGGGCGCGGCAATGGCGCCGGGGGAGGAGAGCCCCCGACTGGGGCGGCTTGGAGGGGTGGGGCGCCTCTTCTCCTCCCCAGCTGCTCGCCACCCGGAGCTGCAGCTGATTCTCCAGGGTTTGGTTTCTGTCTTCCTTATCGCTCAGCAGGGGTAACCGTCGCCTCGCATGCGTGCAAACGAGCTCACAGGTAAGGAATTCTAAACACGGAAGGCCTGCAGAGTCTGCGCCTCCACCTGTCCCTGTGTCCGAGGGAACAGCCCCTTGGAAGGCGGTGGCGTGGACTCCACCATGTCAGGTCCCACCCAAAGGGCGGCCTCTGCCTGCCCAGTAAGCTGCTCTGCTGCTTCTCCCACATCCGGGGGCCCAGGACCACGCAATGCTCAGGCCAAACAAGGTGTCACCATCGAGCAAGGGGGTGGGGGGTCAGAAGGTCGATTTCACGCATGACAAACAGCTACGGTTTTGAAGATTTCTGACAAGTGTTCTTCCTGACATGGCTTCAAGTTGCTGCACACGCTCGGGCCTCCTCCCCCGCACAGCCTGCTCTAGGACGCCGCGGTGGCGGGAGCCGCTCAGTCACGCCTCGTCCCTGGTGTGTGCGGACGCCCCCAGAGACAGCCAGCCTGGCCCTGGGTTTCCGGCCCAGGGTTACATAACTCAACTCTCTTCCAATTCCACATTTGCCATGAAGCATTACTGGTGGTGGAAGTAAAGGGAAAAAAAAAAAAGTAGAACCACACGAATTCCTGCTCATGAGATCAACCTCAAACAGATGACAGACTCCCGGAATTAATGTCTAGGTAATTTTTAACGACATTTAACTCGAGGACTCTTTAACTCGGAGTCAAGGAAATGCTGAGTGCCAGTTTCATCTTCTCTCAAAGCGAATGCACGTTTATGTTTGGAGGCTGAGGAACGTGGGGAAAAGACAATGAAAAAAAATCTAATTATCAAGCACCTCGTTTACAATTTTTAAAAGTTCACAGCTGAATATCCATATAAGAGCAAGCCGCGTAGTCTGTGTGAAGACAGGGGGAGCTGAAGTTGAGAGCTGTGTGCCTCGTCCTCAAACACTCCCCGTAAAGGTTACAGAGCCAACCAGGAAGGCACCTGTGTCCCGGGAGGCAAACCTAAGCCAACGGAGAGGTCTGCCTGCCCCGTGATGGACTGATGGCATTAGCTATGCTATCAATTAAACTTCACACATCAGGTCTAAAAAGTCAAAGGAAATAAGAGCTCTGTCCCTCCTTTCACCTGGGGGTGACATTTCTGAACTCTGCACGACCGATCTGTTTGCTGTGTCTATTTTTGACACTTCAGGGACAGAGTGATGGCAAATGTATTCACCAAAGGGAAGGGGGGCACCAGAGGGCAGCAGCTGTACAATAATTTTTCAGTGCACTTAAACAAAATGCCTCAAACAAGATGACAGAGGTTCAACCCATCATTAAAATTTTTCACCCTATTTTTATTTTGGGAGCATGCAAAAAATGCTTAATAGGTGTGAAAAAAAGAAAAGAAAGAGGGAGGGAGAGAGGGAGGGAAGAAGAGAGGGAAGGAGGGAAGGAAGGAAGGAAGGAAGGAAGGAAGATTTCTCCAAATTCTGGCACATTTGAAGCTAATGAATCCACTGTAAGAGAACGCTCTCTTGACGTTAACCAAGGAAAACAAAGAACAAAGTCCTCTGTGGCACTTACCAGATTCCAGGCAGAAGACCTCATTTCGAAGGGGAGAGAGACAGGGAGAAGGAGGCTGGTCTAGCTGCAGATGGCTGTCTGTTTCCCCTAACAACAGCCGTGAGGAGAGATGCTGTCTCTGCCAGATCCCCCTGTTGACAGGTGATCTGCAGCCTGGCGCAGGGTGGGGTGGAAGGCTCAGAGGGGAGGGCTCTGCAACAGCTACCGCCCAGGTAGGGCCATGATGAGAGGCAGCCGCCCCCAAGCTGCACCCACTGGTGCCCGAGCAGAAGCCTGTCTGAGCTGGAAGCTGCTACTGCTGCTGCTGCTGCTGCTGCTGCTGCTGCTGCTGCTTGTCTTGCTCAAATCAGGAGCAAATTAAAAATGTGGGGAAGAGGACAGGAAGCAGCTCATCAAAGGCAGCAGAACCAATGACTATGGGGGGGAACTCTGTGGATGCAAGAGACATAAAAAGCAATTCCAGTCATGACCCTGCAACACCGTCCCCACAGCAGAACATCACGGAAGTTACCAGCAGCCAACTTACAGTAGGGAGCGTGCGTGCCTGGCTGTGAGGGGGCCCGGGAGCCTCTGGAGCCTGAGGCATACAGAATGTCCCTTTCAGAATATTAATAGCCTTTTTCGTAAACGCTCATGACAATGTTGAGAGGAAGGACATCTGAGGACATGAAGGCTGTCGTCCCCTGCCCCCCCAGGATACTACTGTTTAAGGAACTGCTCCATTGTCCTCATATGTAGGGTAGGAGCATCTATTTTCATCACACGAGCGCAGCTGGGGATCCCATCTCCACGGCCTCACCAGCCGGAGGGCGTGGGGCGTGCTTCCTGCCCTATCTCACCTTCTTATCTGTAGGAACGGGGCCCTGAACCCTCCTCCACGGACTGCTGTAAGGAATCCATCAGTGAGACCCCCGGTAGGGTCGCGGCGGTCCCTTCTTCACCTACCCACACCCTCTGGGAGCTTGCGGCCCTGAAAGCACGGCCCCGAAACCACTGCGGTCACTCCTGTCACCCCTCTTCCTTTTAGGAACTGATCCGATCGATGAGCGGCCAGCAGCAAAGGTGTTTCTTCTCCCCCGTTTTAACCGACATCTCCAGCAGGTGATGGAGGCCAGTTGAAGGTCAGTCTGACACACAGCAGTCAGAGCCAGATCCCATGACCCCTCTGCCCAGAGCCTGCCTGGACACCACATGGCAGCCCACGCCAGAGGAGGGTTTTGCCCCCGTTCCTGTAACTTCCCACTTCAAGGCCAAGGTCTCGGCCACTTTTAAGAGCGTCAAGAACAGGCTCTTAATTGAGCCAGGTCTTTTTCTTTAATGCTGCCTTTTAAAAGGTAATGGAGTGCACAGGTTACTTGTAATACCGCTCTTTGATACGAATGACAGTGGCATTCAGTATTCGGTCAAGCCTGTGCTTCCAGAGATCACGACAGGCAGGGAGCAAGTCCCTAGTCCTCAGGGCCAAGAAGCCACCATCGCCATCTGGTGGTAGCGCCTGCACATTGCAGCCATGAACCCTCCCTCCATCTTCAATCCATTCTCCTCCAGGAGGCAGTATGCTCACTTTCCCACAGCTAGTTTGGCTGCTCAGGGACGACCTTTGGGCTTCCCCACCAGATCTTCTTTCCAAGCAACCTTCCTTCTTTCCCACAGACTTTTGACCATCCGACATCTGGTGATTTGGCTACAGAGAGTAAAATTCCCGAAACAGACAGAGAAAAGAGAAGCAGAGAGCCAGGGTATTCCCAGGCAGTAACAGCCAAGAGCCAATTCCAGCGGGACACGTGAGGCAGGCATCCCTAGCAGCTGAAGACCCGGAACAGATCGCAGCCAGCCTTTGCTGGGCCCTGACCAGAGCGTGAGCAAGGCTTGGGTGGGTTCGGGAGAGCTGTTCTACGCAGCTGGTCCCGGGCGAGCAGCTGCCAATCAGGTGACATTTGAAGAAACGTTTCTAACCACTTTACTTCCCAGAAGACTTCACTGATTCCTGGTGAATACCTTCAGGTCCAGGAGGGCTCTCAAAAGCAGGTAACAACCTGAGGAAAAGCTGCCAGTGGAAACGAGGGCCACGGAGAATGCAGGAAGTGGAAAATTCGTCTTTAAGTGGTGCCATTAGGATACTCTGTAAAACGATACTAGTGGTGCTGCATGGGGGCGAAGACGATGCATGTGGCTTTTCCAGGCAGCTGGGCAAGGCCTGGGTGACCAGTGGGGCCACTGCTAGCAAATCTCCCTCCGTGCAGCATCTCCCCGGAGAATAATCGAAGATGCCTCTGGTGGTTACACAGGAGGACAGGAATTTTCAGGACTGTACACTATGTGAAACGTCCTGCCTGCCTGTCCACAGTGTCTGAGCCAACTATAAAATTGACTCAGTGCCTGACTGGTGTTTACTTCCATTTTATACTAGGTTAATCCAACAGGCAAATTTTAATACGTGCTGTTGTCCAGTTAAAAGTAAACTCTTGCCCCGGCTGGTGTGGCTCAGTGGATTGAGTGCCGGCCTGTGAACCAAAGGGTCGCTGGTTTGATTCCCAGTCAGGGCACATGCCTGGGTTGCAGGCCAAGTCCCCAGTAGGGGGCATGCAAGAGGCAACCACACATTGATATTTCTCTTCCTCTCTTTCTCCCTCCCTTCCCCTCTCTCTAAAAATAAAACAATAAAATCTTTTTTAAATAAAGAAAGAAAAAGAACCCCTGACCAGGAAAGCGGAGGGGAGTACACTCTCATATATGAAATAGATCAAAGAAACAGCCCCTATAACATCAAATAGCTAGTATTGAGAAATGCAGTCCACGCATGGCCTCCCCCCCCCCGCAACACACACACACTGGTCTTGCTCTCTGCTGAGCCACTTTACTTTTAAGAACCTCTGCAACAGCCACAAGCACACCCCCAAGGCCCATGCAGGCTGCTGCGTTGTATCAGAACATGACGCATCCAGCTTGAATGCCAATTCTTTAAAACAACCAGAAGTGAAGTAAGCGGGCACAAAGACAACTCTATCCGTTAAAGGACCCTTTGTCTTCTTCTTTTTTAATCTCTGGAAATCTATGGCCCATGCTCAAGGACCAGGCTGAGCTCCATAGCAACCGATAATAAACTCCCGGAGGCCCAAGAGCCTATGTCCTCCAGCTCCTAGCATCTCTGAGCATCACCAGGTGGCCCCTGAACCCCACTGAAGGACAAGACAGAGGACCCAGGGGCTGCACCCCCACAGCCACCCCAGCAGAGAACACCGCTCGCTGCTGGGCTCCGACAGGAAACAGCAGAAAGACCTGCAAGGCAACCCTGTAAAAGCATCAAAGCAAGCGCAAGCTGACGGAGGGCTAAACTGGATAAGCCAGGTGTCGGGAGACCAGCTGATACCATTAACTACCTTGTTTCGTATAAGGCAACTTGACAGCTTAACCTTCCTGCAATCAGCAAGCCTCTCCTAGGAAAGTCATACAAGAATGTGCCCGCCGCTCTCTCTTCTTGGGATTCAATCAGCAGTGCACCCTACACGCAGTCAGTAGTGTTGAGAACCAATGATCATTTGTGACCCTGAACTGTTCATTTATTCCATACAGAAAGCGCAGCTCCTCTCCTACAGTTTCATGACCCAGGCTCGCGGGTGTAGGGACCCAGGCTGGACAAGCTCAGAAGCTACCCCACTCAACAAGTATTTCTCCGGCTCCTTCCGTGTGCCAGGTACCACGATGGCACGGGGGCCTTGTCAGGGCCTGCCCAGCACTGCCCCCCTGAGCCTTACTTACCTGAAGTCTTCAACGCCTGTCATCTGTGCATACAACGTCACACTCTGCGTACACACCAAGCTCCAGCTGAACGCCATTTGTTCTGTAACAAGCCTGTCTCACCACTGAAAATTCAAGCTGCTGCGGAGTAAGGCTAACGTCTTCCCTAGTGATTTACCAGTTACCCTGGAGCCAGGCTCCCGCCAGCCCCAGCCCAGGGAACTTAGCTGCAAACCCCAAACAAAGACAGAAGCAGCTTCCGAATTCTGAAACAGTCACTATCACCAGGCCCTTGGGTTCAGAGCTTCCCTGACTATAACACCGTTTAGAACAAATTTCAATATTTAGCTTCCATGACAAAAATTAAGCTTCTAGTCTTCAATATAGTCGACAGCACTGCTGCTTCTGCTATAAAAAGCCAACGCACCAGAAGAAAGAAAAAGAATACCATTCACTGAATGCAATTAAAGATCTCAGCCACTGAAATTATCAACAGTCCATCTGGCAATCAGTTTGTCATTTTAAGTTCTTGTTATCATTGCTTTCGTTCTCTTAAAGGCATAAGAAAACGGATTTAAACAAGGGGGTTGGAAGGTCGACTGCAGTTTAAATCACAGGTTCTTACTCAAAGAGGCAATTCCTTCCTAAAAATGAAATAAATTTTTCCAATTTCCATGAAGGTAAGATAGATTCTTTACAGGAAAGTATACAGACACACAGTGGAAGGAAGGGAATACATACCCGTGAATCCCCAGATAACACTATTAATACACAAATGCACTAATACCCTTTCGGATATCTCATTATTTATGTATATGTATGTGTTCCTTATCAAAAGATGGGGTCAAATCATAAAACCGATTTACGACCTACCTTTTTATTCTGTCATAAAATGTTTCGACATCACTAAACGTGTTTCGACAACTCATTTTTCATGGATTCATACCATTCCACTTTAGAGATACACTCTAGTGAATTAAGTACTCTGTCATCGGCATAATTCTTCGTCCTTAGAGCTAATTCTCTGGCTGTATGAGGATACACTGCTACATTCCTTACTGTTTCCACAGGATGAGTTTCTTCGCAGTTCGTGAGCCGGGCCATCAAGCACGCACGTGTCTCTGTCTGTGCATTTGATAACACTGCACAATCCACTACCTGAAGGAAATCTGGAAACTACTTAGAGGCAAAAACCGCTGATAATCCTAGCACCCTGATAAGGTGTTCCCACTACACTGGGCACCCTTTCCCATCTTTCCTCTGTCCGAGATACTTTCTCCTTCCCCCACCCCCACCCCCAGGTAAGCTTTTTCCCCCGTTTATTTTCTCTTTGCCTAAAGAAACACTTGGTTTGGTTTTACCAGAGTTTCGCTGTGGGGGCAGCGGTAGGGAGCCCCTACAAAATAATCAGCTTACCTACTTTAAATGTAGTAACATGAACTCTGACACGTTTATTCAATAAGAAGTGCAAAATAAAAGTTCCGTGACTTCTCTTATGTGGCGAGGACGGGAGCGGGGGGGGGGGGGGGGTGCGGCGGGACTGTGGGAACTGGAGGAAAAGAAGAAGTGGGGAAAGGGAAACTGCCCCTCCCTCTGCTGCGGGGGGCCGGGACTCCCCAGGCACTAGGCCTTATCACTCACTGCCTTGAGAGGCGCACAGTTGCCCTTAGTTACAGCTTCTGGGTTCGTGTGAAGAAAAAAGCCAAAACCGCCCTGGCTGGCGTAGCTCAGTGGATTGAGCTCGGGCTGAGAACCAAAATGTCACAGGTTCGATTCCCAGTCAGGGCACATGCCTGGGTTGCAGGCCATGAGCCGCAGCAACTGCACATTGATGTTTCTCTCCCTCTCCCTCCCTCTCCCTCCCTCTCTCTCTCTCTCTCTCTCTCTCCCCTTCCCTTCCCTCTCTAAAAATAAATAAATATAAATCTTAAAAAAAAAAGCCAAAATCTCAGCTAGAGAGGGGCTGGACTCATGGACGGGGTCAAGGCTCCACTCCAAAGCCTGCTCTACACAATGTTATGGAACCCGACAGCACCTAACTTCGTCCGCTGGAAACCATCAGAGGGACCTGGCCGGATGCTAGGCACCCAGCTGCCGGCGAGCCCGAGGCTTCCACCCACCGGTCTCTCGAACAGGTTATGCCCGGGGCAGATGGAGGGTTCGAAGACGTGCTGATTTGTTTTCATCTTCACTCCAGGTTCATTGTCGTGAAGGGAATGTCTTTCCCCGTCAGATTAGTTCAGCTACTCCTGCGTTAAAGGTCGTCATCACCTGTGGTTTTGGACAGAATGAGGGCAGAGACGTACCCCGGAGCAGTCCAGAGCGTAGGGGTTTGAGCCAGAGGGTGCCGAACTTTTACAGACAAAAGATCCCACCGCCTCCCAAACAGCAGGCTTAGTGGATAGCGAGAGTGACAGCAAAAATCCAACGTGGGCTTTATGAATTCTAAAAATAGGCACCGGAGGCAGAACGCTTTCTTTCCAGAGCAATTTTAAAGCCTCCCGGGAGGCGGCAGGTGTTGTGTAAATATCACAGGGTGATGCGGGGGGGCTCCCTTGGCTCTGGCGCCCTGGACAGGCGAAAGAAAAGTCTTTTGTTCACAGCCCTGCTGCGGCCTGACAAAGGGGCCTGCAGAAGAAGGTCAGGGCTCGGTGTCCGGCGCAGGAGGGGAGGGCCGAGCAACAGCTGCCCGCTCCCGTCTGGCCGCGCGGACCCAGGGGAGGGCCGTGACGCTGGGCCGCCATTTCCCTCGGAAAGATGATGAATGGACGGACCCACTTGCAAAGCCCATCTGTGCAGATTACTTGGGAAAAGAGACCGTCTTCTCCGCTGTACAGGCCCGAGGATGCGCTTACTTAACTCCCATCATCCAAAAGTGGATGCCGGAGGCCAGGAGGCTCTAGCACGGTCCCGTCCAGAAGAGTGATGTCATTGGAAAGGTCAAGGGCAGAGACTGTGAGGCTGAGCAACACGGGGCTGGAGGAGGTTCTAGGGGCTGAGGTTCCGCGTGCCCCGTGGTCAGTGCAATGCTCGTGTCCACAGTCAGCAGGCCCACATACTGCTGCCTCCACCTGCACCTCCGGGCGAATGAATGGATCTCTGGGGTGAGTCCTGGTGAAACTGAGGCTCGCTGTGGCTTTGTTTAAATTTAGTTTTAAATCCTAGCTCTAGGTATCCCCTCTCTCTCTACACACACACACACACAGACACACACACACACACTCTTATCTTTCAGAGACCTAGCTCCCCCCTCCCTGTCCTCACCCAACCCCCGGGGTCATCAGCAACCCCCAAGGCAACAAAGACAGTAGCAAGACCTGACTATGGGTCACACAATCCAGTCGGACCTCCGGCAGGCTACAGATAACATCTCGTTGCAGCTCCTGAGCCCAAAAATGGACCAAGCACCTGGCTCCTTTCCCGTGAGACCAGACAGAGGGACGCTGGAAAGGACCTAGAGCTGTCCTCAAGGCGCGAAGAAGTGATTCATCGCCTTACCTCACCTCTGACTAATCAGCTCCCAGCACGACCGGAACCCCTGACCCACACGGTACTGTACAACTTTGGCCTACATAACAGCCTATAACCTCCACGCCACTGGGGAGTTCAGGCTTTGAGTGTGGGGTCCTGCCCCCCTGACGGCACTGTCCATAATAAAACAGCCACTGTTCCCCCTCTGCGGTTCTCGGTGCTGGGGGCTCAGCTCCGGCGTCCGTCCTGTGACACTGGCACCTGTGACACTGGCACCGACACCAAGCTCCCGAGGGATCCCAATGCACCGCCGGGCTCCAGGATCACGGGCTCGAGGGTCCCTCTCAGCTCTCAAGTTCAATGCGTACATTTTAACGTCTGTTTTTCCCCACGAGGCTAGTGAAGGCCTGTCTGATGAGAGCAGAAAATAACATGGCCCCTGGGCTCGCCTGCCCAGTAGACGCCGGTCCCCGATCTGTCCTCACTCGGCCGGACACACGCCCTATGTGACTGTCCCCGCCCCACACTCGTTACATTCTGAACACGATTTCTTCTGTTCACATCCAGACCCCCAGTCTTATCCCTCAAAACGCATCTTAAGTCCCTACGATGAAGCTGCCTCCGGGCTGAATGGAACCTAAGCAGCAAAGGCGCCCACGGGAGATAGAACGGGCCTCGCTCATGCACCCAATTCTTTAGACAGAAGGAACTGGGCTGCCCCAGGGTCGCAGCCCACCCACCGTCCTGCGCCCTGAACTCAGGCCAACGGCACGGGAGACACGCTGTGGGGGAGGGGCTGGCTTATAGCGTGACTTCCACACCCGCCTTCGGACTGTGAGTTCCATCGGCTTCTTTTTCACGAGGAAAAACGGTGGAGCACGTCGCCATCTTCGAACATCACTAACACGGGTTCTGTCTCCATCTCCAGCGCCGGGCGATTTGATTTTCATGACCAACATGAAAACGCACTGACGGGAACGCAGGAGTCTCGGGGACACACGGGAAGCAAACACACGTGGTCCGGCTTTTCCTCCTTTCGTCCACCACAGAGAACACCAAGTACCCCATTGCCACAGAATGAAGTTGACTGACTGTGAACCCTGATCATGTCATTTTTTTAACCTGAAATTCTCTTTATATTTCTTTGGATTTATAAGCACTCTAACAAAGGATTCTTTCCTTTCCTTTCTAATCCTTCTCCCCCGCCCCGCCGGCCCCTACCGCTGGTGTACCTATCTGCTGATTTTCTGCCTGTCTCTCCAGGCTTCCTGTCCCCCATCCCCCTCCCCCCAATCTGGTTGAGCCACTTTCCCAAGAGTGAAAGGAGAAGACAGCAAGTCACCCAGCCTTCCTCTGGGTCCCCGGGCCCTCGAGGGCCACCTCATTGGAAGCTGACATGACCAACAAAAACCACCGGCCACAGAGACAGGGGATCAAATTCTTTCTAGAACCCTCCAGGCACTGGGCACTATGTGTAGTCCTTCCCACGTAGGGGTCCTTCCCACTGCCGATAGTCTGCTGCGGAAATTCTTTCCAAGCACCTACTACTTATCTCCAAGGTTCGTTTCCTGCAGGAAGGCAGGCCTGGCCGTGTGAACAAGAACCCCAGGACCCCAGCCTGGAAGCAGAGCACAGGGGAGCTGAGCCCTTGACCTTGTCAAGGTCATGGGTGAACTCCAGCACTCAGTGGTTTCCCAGCTCTGGCTGCTGGTCTCACCACCTGGGGGCCATAAACGGGGATGCCTCAGACTCGGCGGCAGGGTGGGGGTGGGGGGGGGGCAGAGTCCCTGCTAACACAGCTGGCTCTGACTCCAGCTCCGCCCCTCACCTGCTGTGACTTTAGGCAACAGTTACATAACCTTTACGGTAATTTCCTCCTCCTACCACTGATGTGATGACTATGATTTAATTATGATGCATACAGTTACAATGTCTCAAAACCCAGGAGGACTCTGCTGCTTCATCTGTAAGCGACAGAACAAGGGACGGAGACGTGGACGGGGAACAGGATGAGGACGTGGAGACAGAAGGGCGTATGGGAGTCAGGGGGCTGGATTTTTAAAAAAATCAAATACAGTGAGGACTCCACTATAGGTCAATGCACAGGACATTCCATGCCCCTGCTGCCAGGTCAGGGGCGACCCAGTCAGAGGCAGGCCCTAAAGTGTGCCGGAGCCTCCCTCTCTGCTAGGAAGGTGGGGCCAGAGCTGCTGTAACCAGCCGGCAAAGCCGCGGAGGGGAGGGAGCCGGTGCGCTAGAGCTGACAGCGGATGGCGGATGGCAACAGTCGCAGCACAGGCCGCAGCCGTTTTAATGGACACGCCTGCTGTCTCCGCTCTTCTCGGACGGCGCCCACCAGGGAATGCGTGCCCCCTCCCCTCCCGCGCATGGAGCCAGCGCATGGAGCCAGCGCATGGAGCCGGCGGATGAACCCGGAGCGCCGGCTCTAAGGGCCCAGGCCTGAGCCATCGTGGAAAGCGTTCCCAGGATGCTGGAGTTGGACCCGCAGCCTCCGGCGGCGGTGTCTTCGCGCGCCCGTGAACACGCTGTGCCACGGACACGTTCCGGTTCGGCCACGTGATCTTCGGAAACGTGTCTCATTGGTTTTGATCGCTCTTTCTTGTGTCATAAGAGACGCTACGTATCTCAGTGTATTTAAGTGATACTGGTATTCCCTGCTCTCTGAACTGTCTATTGGCACTCTCTGATCATTTCTTTCAATTAGGTTATCGGTCTTTTTATTGATTTGTAGGAGCTCATTCTGCAGTAAGGAGGTGAGCACGCTCTGCACTACGAACCGGCCATATTCCCCCCAGTCTGCCCTTTCCTTAATTTTCTGGTGTGTTTTTGCCACACGTGTTTTTTACACATCACATCAGCCTGATCGTTCACAACTTTCCTCATTCTGCAGTTGTTGAGATAGGACTATAACCTCTATTTTAAAAGATAAACTCTTAAGGCTTGCGACATGGTTAGTTGTAAAGTGTCTGTCGAGGAAAAGGCACCGTTCCTTGCGAAGGCTGGACCCGGGGCCCAGGCGAACCCCACACTCCACAGCGGAAACCTACCAGGAACTGAGCGTTATGGGGACCGCAGACCTGTGCCAACTCCTTCCCTACCGCCTGCCCCCCCCCCCCAACACTGTTCAGGCCTCCGTATCTGTCCCGCGGCATCAGCGCAAACTTGGGCTCCGGGCCGTGCTGTGCGCCCGCACTGCCCTCTCCGCCCAGCACGAGTGCCTGGGACCGAGCTCCGGCACGAAGGAGCACCCTTCATCCGCATCACCGGTGTGAATCACACCAAGCACATGGGGCGGCACCCTCTCTCCCTGGCAGGGTGTGGTCCTGTTTGGAGAGAAGGATTTAGAAAAAGAATACCTTCTAGTCCCCCCAAAAGTAAGAGTCCATGAAAAACAGTTCTGGAGTGCATCATCCTAACCCTTCAGAGAAAGCCTGGGTCTGGAAGTCGACCCCGCAGCCCCTCCAGAGAACTTCTGTGACCCACCCACCCCCGCCCCCGCCCCACGCAGAACGAGGCCTCCGGGGCTTCCCGGCGCTCCACAGGCAAGGCCTGAGCTCCACGGTCAGAGCCGCCAGAAGGCTGCTGGTGGCAGAACCAAGAGCAGGACAGACCCTGCAAGAAGGGCCCACCCGCAGCTGCACCCCAGAGCCTGGTGGCCCCACAGCCACACCTTCCGCGACACAGCTGCCCTCCTCAAAACCCCTCCCACCGACACGGTCAACCCTCAGGGTGCAGGGCACAAACCCACTGCTTCGCTGAGGCTGTGGTTTCTTCTGGATTCACGATTTTTTCCCCCAGAAGTACACCTGGGACTCTTTTGACACCCAAAGTTGAAGTAAATAAAACAGACTGTTAAAAAGGAAGATGGTAGAGAGGCAAACCCTTTTAAGGAAATTTTTAGGTTAAAAAGCGTTCCTGCAAACTCAGAGTGAGCCGAGTAGAACTTAGGGACCTCCAAGCGGATGGAGCAATCTCAAGTGAGACCCACGGGGGCAGGAAGCAGTCAGCTGTGGATAACGGCCCGCGGTGCAGCACAGAGCTTCAAAGCGAGTACTCAGCCGCCTAAACGAGGCGCTGCAGTCAGAGCCTCTGCACAGGTGGCAAGAAGCTGTGGCTCCAGGCGCAAGTGACAGTTGGTGTTCACCCTGCGTCATGTTCACCCCACATCAGAGGGCACGCCGGCGGATGACAGCCTGTGAACTCCCAGCTGAGGACGCCCCGAGTCCCAACAGACGTACGTGTCTCTGGGCTAATGTCTGCACCAAGGAAGCCCAGCTCAGCACAGGCTGCCTGCACCTAGAGGTTTATTATGACCAGGGGCAACCCAGGAAGCCAGGAGTGAGCTTCCTCCGGCCAGTTCTCCCATGGCAGGGTGCCCAGGGGGCTCCCTCTGCAGTTAGCCAAAGACTTAAAGAGAGGAAGGGGGTGCCAAATTTAAGCTCGGAGCAGGTGTGAACCCTGTCTAACTTCTCCTCCCTGCCCAGTGCCTTCCACAGTACATAATACATTGTAAGGGCTCAAAAGATAATCTGGGAAATCTAGGTACAGCCACGAGCGTCCAGCTGCAGCAATAAGGAGCCACCGCTGTCATTTCCAGACAAGCCATGAGGTCATTTTCAGGCCAGGTCCTGGCTGCTCTGGATCTCCAGGGATGGTGACCTGCCCTCGGCTACAGAGGCTGCTAAGCATCCTCAAACGGTGCTTGACCCCAGCAAAGGCTAAGCTACTGATACCAGCAGTGACCTAGACACATCTCCACAGCGTGCTGTGGAGCTACAAACAGTAAGACGACACCTTGTAGCTCTCATCTACCCCCCCCACAACACACGCACACACACGCACAGACACACACAAAAACAGAGGCCGTGCTCAGAGCAGCTCTGGCAGGGCGGAAGGCCGAGAGGGGCTTTTCTTTCCCGCCCCCTACATGGCTATGGAGATTTCCTCAATAAACTCGCACCATTTTCTACATCGCGCGAACACGTCAACTTAGAAGTACACCCAGAGACTCCCCACATCGGCCTTTCTGAAGATCGTACCCGAGAACCACTGCTGATGTACGACTGCCCGTGAGCACTGCTGGGCTTCTGGACAAACAGGACCGATCCAGCTCCCCAACTGGCCTCTTCCACACACCTGTCGTGACTCCAGCCCAGTGGCAGGCTCCACTCTCTTCACGATCCATACCCTCACCAGGCACTGCGACATTCCGGTGCCATCCGCACTGTTCGTCGAGGTACTTACTCCAGTGCACTCCGCAAACCAAGCCTCAGAATCACCCCTAGAGCCCACGGAGATAAAACAGAGCAGGAGGAAGGCAGAGGGTGGGCAGACGAAGGCTTGAGGGGAGGCTGGGCGATGCTGTGGCCCGCGGCGAGGGAGCCGTCTCCTGGGACAACCACTGGGGACACCCCCTATTTACACTTCGGACCCCCAGGGGCTCCCGCCACCTGGCTTCCACTCTGCACCCTACATGGGATGGCGCGCGCTTCTCAGCGCAAGTGGTTTCGGGGTTTGCTGTGTGTTGATGTGCCTGTTTGCTGTGGAGGCCTGCTTTTTTTAGGGAGAGTCAGTCGGCTAGAAAACATACACGGAGCCCTGCACTTGTGCTGTCCCACAGCGTCACGGGGGGGCTGCCATGTGGAAACGGCATCTCACAGGAACCGTCCCAGCACAGCCCTGAGACCGCATCCTCCTGTCTCAACTGGAAAAACCAAACTGTGTCATATCTCAGACCGACGGATGCTTTTCTCCCTGGCGCCTCCCCATTTTCCCTGTTCCACTGGAAGCATTCACGGCTCTCCTCCTGTTTTCGGTTTCTGCCCGTGTTTGCAAACATTAAGAAATGGTAACGGGGGAGAAGGACACCCCTGCAAAACCAGCTGGTCAGTGACCCATGCCATTCCCCTCCACAGGCATGCGAGCCACCCCTGCTCTGCCTGAGCAAGTGCTTTGATGTTTTGATGATACACCCGCTGACACAGACTGCCCACGAAGGCTCGTGACCCCTTCCCCGGCCCCCAGGGAGTTCTGTCCCAAACAGCCCCAAGCACACCTGAGAA